CTTTTGCACCAAAAGCTTAAAACAAGAGAGTAAACAAAACACTAACCAGCAGGAGAATCCTGAACCGTTTCGACCTCCTTAACCCTCTTCTTCCTCTCCTTCTTCTTCTTATTTTTATATTTCTTCTCTTTTTTCTTAGGAGTCTCCTCTCCTTTACTTTCTTCTCCTCCTCCTTCTTCTTCAATAATCTCTTCTACAGCCTCTCCCTCACCATCATTGCCCTCTTGAGCTTTCTTCTTCAACTTCAACCCTTTCTTCCCTTCTCCACTTTCATCCACAGGAACATCCGCAAGATCAAGATTGTAATCAGCTTCATCAATTTCCTCAAGCGAAAGAAACCCTACATAAATTTCGACACTTTAAATTGAATCAAAAGTACAAAGGAAAACACTTTTAAGAGAATATTATTATTATTCATACCTCCGTCAAGCTCGTCTGAACCTGCGAAGAGGGTGGAAAACGTTTCGCCCTCGTCGTTTTCTCCGATAGGTATAGTAGAGCTCCACGGAAGTGAATCCAATCGTTCGAGTTCCTCCTCACGCTTCCTCTTGTGACCTTTTTTGTTCCTCTTCTTCGCCATTGATGATGATTCTCCGTCGCCGGAGGACATGGTAGGTGTTGATTTGAGAAGCTTTGACATCTAGTGGAGGCGTAGAGATAAAATTCTGGAGAACAAAGTTTTAAAACTTTGATAAACCCTAAATCAGAACGATGATGAGGTGTTGTATTGTAGCTGTGGTTTCAATTAAACCGAAACTCGGTTTACTAAAATTAATTTAAACCGGATAATTTGGGCTTAATATACCGAGTTCGACTTTCTCGCATTAATCAGATCGATGATGTCCCGGTTTGATTGGATTAAAAGCTCATTAAACCAGAGGGAACTAAAGGAGACTTGTAATGTTTAATAACAGTATTACCATTTTGGTGAAACTTGTTTAATTTTATATAATCTGAGTACAATTTAAATGCAGATTATAACAGAAATGATTTGTATTATTATTTTTTTTTTTTTAATATTAGGAGTTAATATGTTACTCTCTTTGGAGATTCATTTGGTTTCTCATATAAGCAGTGAGACTATTTACAATTTTTGATATTCTAACTTTTTGTATTGTATAAATGTGTAAACCAAAACCGAACCATAAAAAAAAAAAGTAAAAGAATCTCACGCTGCACAAAGCATCCCCCACTACTAGTTTCGTAACATCATATATAGTCAGAAAAAAATCAAGAACTCTTAACCCCAAAGAATCAAGAGAGATAAAAACGATAACACAATGAGAAGAAAGGTGTAGACACGTCCTCTGTGACCATTGCTAGGTAATATAGAAGGAAGCGAACATTGCTGACCGTTGAAGAACACTTTTGTCGGAAACCCATCTCCAGCACCAACATTGATCCCAGGAGTCAGTTTCTTAGTAAAAGAAATAACAGACTGTTGCTTACCGGGAACCCTATAGTCACTACTAGGGTTCTTCCCATCAACCTCACCAACGAGATAGTTCAAACCAGGAAGCCCTTCCATCAGAACAGTACTGTTCTTCCCATTAACAGCAACCGTTGTTCCATTAAACGAGTAAGCCTTCTCAAAACCTGGCGCACCATTCTTCAGCTCCACCGCTGCAAACCAGTCCGCGAAGTTTGTTCCTCCCCAGTTAAAGATCGTGACTCTAGCAGTCCAGCCACCTCTATAGTCAGTAGCTAGATGCCAGTTTATGCTGACTCCACAGTTGTCTCCACAAGGCAATGGGTTTGGAACTCTTCTGTGTTTCAACTCCGCCCATTTTGTAGCCATCTTGGTTCGATTCTCAAAGGGAATGAGAAGAGCCTGAGGTGGTAAGAGAAGAGCTGGTGAAGTAGTGCTGCATGTTCTGTCCACCCTGTCGCTAGAACATCCTCCACAAGCGCAGGTCTTACAAGGGATGATTGAGTCGTTGAGGTAAGAGGAGAAAGACACGCAGCAGCTAGGGATAGCTGGTTGACTGATGTTGCAAACCACTTGCCAGCTGGCGAACGCGGTTCGGTTTGAAGGTAAACCGCTTGGATCAGGGAACTCACTGGCGCTAACTCGAACAGGAGGGCCACATTTGTAATCAGGGTTGAGATTACCTTTAATCTGCCAGCTCTGAGGTGGAGTGATAGCAGAGATGTTCACATCAGGAGGCATTTTGTAAACCTCCATTTGAAAAACAGATTTAGACTTGGTTGGATCCATGGACGGTGGCAAAATGGTTCCGTTTCTGCAGCAGTATGGTTTAAGTCCAAGGTTTGAGTCGTTGTATTTAGTCAAAGGGAGGTCTATAATATGTGGTCTTCTTGCACAGCTTAGGACATTGGAGAAGTCTAGTCCTCCATAGTATTTCCCTTGTGGACCATCTATGCAAGCTGATGAATCTACGATGCTTGGATAAGCTCCTTTGGTTTGGATGATGAACTCATCTTTCATCCAGGCGAAACTTAGATCCCAATTGTCTAGACGGCCTAGAGGGTTGTGATTCTCTATAGTGACTTGCGCCCAGTAACTTGATGCATATGGTCTTGTTATGTCGTACATGATGGTTAAGTCTCCTTTTTGTCTTGGAAGGAACTTTACACCAACGGGAGATGTTTTGTTTTTTGGATCAGGCATGCAACATACTTGTAGAGCATTTTTACCTTAAATAAAATCAGAGAGAATGATTATAAAATGTCAGTAAAACACACAATAAAGATTTTGTTTACATGTGTTCAAGAAAACGTGTTTTTAGAAGACAGAACCATTCTCCTAAGCAACTTAATGGTCTAATATGATATACTGTTGGATAATAATTCAAACTTTTGACAAGAAATCAACAAAAGCAATAGACTTTTTCAACGAATGATTAAATATGAAATATAACTAATCAATGTGATCATTTCTTGAATTTTTTTTTTTTGAACACTTTCTAGTGATTTCTTAGTGAGATTAGCAAACACAAGTTAACACAACATCAAAAGCAACATTTTTTACCAAACATCTAGACTAATCAAACTTAAAAAAATCTAAAACAAAATCAAATTTTCATTCACATAATACAATATCAAGATTAATAAAATTTAGATGATTAATGTTTTTTGTATACCTCGTTGAGTGGCTTTGGGACAAGACCAACCAACATTAACAAGAGTGATGTTCTTCGGAAGAGGAACATTAGGGGGCGCAACACCAAACTGAGTACCCACGAGCTCCACACGTGCTTCCATCTGCGTGACGTCACCCGCCGTCATAATCGCAGACTTTAAATCCGCCGCGGGGTACCCTGCAAACGTCGTACCGTTCTCGACGCTAACGGGGAGACTAGAACCGTCTCCTAGAATAGCGTTTGTGGCAGAGACAAGAATCTCTTTGTGAGCGAATCCGACGAAGACTTGCCACGACTTAAGCTCATCTCTGCCGTTGTTTAGGACAGTGATCACGGACTCGAACCGGTACGGTTGGCTTTTAGTGTCGTTAGGTTTGATCTTGGTTCCGGTTGAGTATGTGTAGGAGAGGAAGATGCCGTCGCAGAGGTTAGCGTCGGGAGAGATCGGTGGAGTTTTGGGTTGAGATGATGTTAGTTGAATCGTTGTGAAGAGAGACAACAGTATGATCAAGTTTTGAGCTAAACCCATGAGACTCATAGTTCTCTCTGAGATCAGAAAGATCTTTGTCTTTTTGGATTTTATGTAATTGAAAAGAAGAATTAAAAAATGGGAGATTTTTTTTTCCTTATTTGAAGAGATGAAGAGACCGCGTTAAAGAACAGAACAGCTTTTAGTTATAAGCTGTAATGAAAATTTATGTGCGCGTTTCACATTGGTGTTTGGTTGCTTTTTTGGAGGTGTATTTTAGAATTATTCAAAACTTTTCGTGTTTCTTTCTTGTTGTAGTAAGCAAAAGAATTATAAAAGGGGCTGATATAGTTTTTAAAGTTACAAAATGAACCTATTTATTGCCGCGTCAACTCAAATTGATAAAGAAATTTACTCATGGCAGATTTTATATTTATTCCGTTTGGTAGTGATTTATTATTATTATAAAAAAGAAGATTTCTTACTATTTATTTGAAACAGTGCCTATGATTTCAAAGTGTTTCATGGAGCATTTGTAATGGAATAAGAGTGAAGATTTTATACCCATTTTGCATTGATTTCGCGAAAATAGAAAAAAGGAAAACGTGTTTTCTAACTTTGGAAAATTATATATACCGGAAATATGAGGATGGAAACATTGGATCTATTGTGAAATTACTGATTTGATTCCCCATATTGAATGGCCTTATTCCCTATTGTATAAAGAAGACAGAGAGCGGAGGTGTTGAATTTGGTTTCACCAGCCAAATCTTCTTAATCTGCAAAAGAAAAACATTAACTTCACTAACAATTTACATTGCTTAATATATTTGTATTTGTAACAGCTTATATGTTTGCATCGTTTATTAAGTGTGTTAATCGTCTAACTCTACTGAAATTCAAATTAAAATCTAGTTTATGTTGAATTTTTCAATTTATAGCTACTATTGCTCAATCATTTTGAAAAACACATAACGTCTGGCTCTTACTTCAGGAACTAATCTTTAGTACAACATGAAGTAATGCTGTCATAAGTTGAATTGACTGTGTTAAATCATGAGATTAACCAGAAAAAGGGAGTTTCGTGAAAGAACGTCCCGTTGAGCAAACTAAACTTGAATCGTTCTAGAGGTTGCAACTTGCGAGGTACACGGCTTTAGGTTAGACACGTCATCACTTAAATAAATTCAAATCAAAATGAGAGGTGACGCAAATGGACCAACATACAAAAATAAAAGTGGCGCGGTTGATGGAGACTAGACAACTAACAACCACGCGCTTCTTGATTGCCGCGAAAAGCCCATTTTCGTGGCCCATATGGGCCTAGCAGCTACATAGTAATCAGCCCACGCGCATAAGCTAGCGAGTGAGAACTACGAGCTTATAACCAAATCTCAATGATTAAAAATTTAAAAACACCTTCAATTAATTGTCTTCTACTTCAAAATTAAAACTTGATTATCAAAAACACATAACATTAGTGGGAACCAGACAAAAAAACCCGACATCACTAGCTATTACACAGTCATACTTAATATCTCTCTATGTCTATGTTAATTAAATAACTAATCAAAACCTCTCACTTTAATTATTCCCTAAACGATACCAAACAAAGAAGCTTTTTCTTCATCGTTTATGCATAAACAGTGCCACAAGAGAGCGCCATGAGAAGCACGGCGGCTTGTTCTTCCTCGTCGAGTTTCTTCCATAGCTTCTTCTTCTCAATAGAAGATCTCTTCATCACCGGAACTTTCAATCCTAGATCCAAAAACTTACTCACTCTTTTGCTGCAGCTGCTACTACTACTACTATGATCATCATCATCTTTGTTGATCTTGTTCTTGTCGTTTCGATGATGATCTACGCTTAGATCAGAATCACTACTGTTACTTGTTTTGTTTTTCTTCTCTGGTTTGCTTCCAAGTGCCGCTTGTCTCTTCTTCCTACTCTTGATCCCACAAGCATTGCACAATGACTGCATAGTAAAGAAACAGTTTTAGCTTTTAACGAAACGACCAATAAGAGCAGAAAAAAAAACAAACTCACCTTAGGTCCAGCAGGGCCACCGCGCCAGAGAGGAGTTTTGGATGTTCCGCAATCAACGCATGTCTTCTTCGTCTCGCTACCACTTCCACTGCTACTGCAGTTTTCGTTATCCACATCTGATAACTCTCCGGCAGAATCAGCCTTTGTCTTTGTTTCGTCTGATCTCTCGGACATTTTTTAAAAAGTGGTGATCAGATCTGATCAGGTTTGATGATAAGGAAGAGAGAGAGAGAAGGTTATGAGCGGACAAAACAAACGGAGGTGGTTTTTATAATTGGGAGTGAAGGCGGGGGCGGAAACCCTAGTTTTTCGGTGGTGTTGCATTTACGGAAATACCCTCGAGCGGGGACTTTTAATAGTTACTTTTGAACTACCCGCCAGAACTTAACTAAACAATCTGTTGAAAAAACGAGGGAAAATTAAAGGTTTGATTTATTTTTGGTCAAATTAAAGTTATGTTTCTTTTGTTTAAAATGAAAATGAGAAACAAAATCTCTTCCTCATCGTCGACAAAAAAATATCTCTTTCCTCATCAAACAAAGACTGCATTGGGCCTAATTCCATAGTACAAGCCCATGATCATGAGGCAACAAAATGAAATTAATTTATCCAAATAGCAGAGCTTGTTACAAAAGAAGCAATATTGGTTAAGCAAGAGCTGCATCATAAGCTTAAACACAAGAGCATGTGATACAGGGTGATTAGCTATTGTAACTCTTAGAATGGTCAGGTACTTGAACTTACGATAAGCTCAACATTATTGCTTTCTAAAATTTTACACTCTGTAATGGTACAATTGAGGAAGAAACCATCCCCAAGTGTAAGAAATACAAACATCTTTTGCACTGAGCTAACTGTCATGTACTAACCCCACAAAATTTTAATACTCTGTTTCCTCTTGTGTCTGCGTCAAATGGCCATGATTCGGTTCTTTCCAAGATCTTTGAGACCTGAAAAGAAGCCAGACGAACCCACACTAATTATAGAGCAGAATGGATCCTTTTTAACCAATTCTCAGGATCTGTTAACCTTTCTGGTTCCTTAGCCTTTCATTGTAATACTTGAAAAAACTCCACTAAGGACAGATTTTTCTATGAGGCTGAACTCGTTTCTCTCGGGAGTCTACTCATTCTCAGGTCAAGTTCTTCTACAAGACGCTTAGTGTATGAATCTGGCACAATTCCATGTCTCTCCATTGAACTAAACATCTCTCTTGCTTCACTCTCTCTCCCACATTCACTTAAAGCTTTGATGAGACTACTGTATGTATAGTTATCTGGTTTCAAACCACTCCTCAACATCTTATTAACCAACTCCTCACCTTTCTTTACCTTCCCCATCCTACAAAAACTCTGAATAACCGCATTGTACGCATAAACGTCAGGACTCAACCCATTCTCCTTCATCTCCGCAAACAGCTTCACTGATCTACCAGTATCTCCAATGGAGCAACATGAACGAATGAGGATATTGTATATAATCTCATTCGGCTCAATCCCCCATTCCAACATCTCCTTGAAACAATCAAACGCATCTTTTATCTCCTTCACACGACAAAGACAGTTTATGATCGAACTGAAAGTGATCACGTCTGGTTTACAACCATGTTCCAGAAGCTTCTCTACTACTTCATGAACCTTCTTCACATCCCCCCTCGAGCTATAACCATTAAGAAGAGTATTGAAAGTTACCAGACTCGGAGAAATACCTCGACCTTGCATCTCTTTTAAGTACATAGCTGCACGCTCTGTACGTTTAGCCTTGCAGAGAGAGTCAATCACCGCATTATAATCATATACACTTGATATAAGCCCATCAACACCCATCTGTTTCAGATACAGTTCACCTTCAGAGAACTTCTGAGCATTCAACAGAGCTTGAACCACCATAAGATAACCATTAAACCCTGGCTTAACCCCTCTTCTAACAAAACCATCAAAAATCTCACACGTCTCAACAAGATCATACCCTTTCAAAAGACAATTCATCGCAGCATTAAACGTTAAGCTATCCGGCACATAACCTATCTTCCTCAAGAACAAAGCAGTCTCTTTACCCATAGAGTTACTCGAAAGACAACACAACACAGTATCACAACACACCACTCTCTGCAAACAGCTCAACTCTTTCTCCATAAACCCAACCAAAACCTCAAACGCCTCCCTTTTCGGCAAACACCGGAAAACCCCATGAACCAAACTCCTAACCGTAGCTTCATTACCACTCATCTCCCTCACCCGCATCGTCTCAAACACCTTCAACGCCTCCTCAACCCTCCCCACCCTCAAAAACCCATCAACCAAAATCGTGAAAGTAAACACATTCGCCTTACACCCTTCCCTCTCCATCTGCTTAACCAACCTCACCCCCTCATCAACCACTCCCTCCTTACAAACCCCATGCACAAGTATATTATAAGTAAACCGGTCCGGCTCACAACCATCCCCACGCATCTGGTCAAACTTCAAGTAAGCCAAGTCCAACGAGTTAGACTTCACCAACGCATCGATCACAGCGTTGTAAAGCCTCGTACTTGGCTTCATCCCAAGAAAACTTATCTGAGCAAACACATCGTTACAGTACTTAGCTAAACCTAACTTCCCCCAGCTTTTAATCAAAACACACATAAGCTCCTCACTAATCCTAAACCCCGAGTCTCTAACCTCCTTGAGAAGCTCCTTGGAGAGTAATAAGGGACCTTTACGGAAGAGGATGTTACCTAGGACGGTTTTTAAAGTCTGGTCGTTTGCGTGGATTGGGTTTGTGTTGGAGAGCCAGAGGTAGATTCGTAAGGAGTGTAATGGGTTTTCTTGGTTCTGTAAGAGGCTGATAGGGTTTAGGTTGATTGGAGAAGAAGTAAGGGACTGATTCAGGATCAAGAACCAATCTTTGCGCCGTATGATTTGCGAAATGTAGAGATTGTCTATAGGGTTTGTTGTGGGTTTACCTGGGGAGGATGAAGGTTTTGGATTTAGGGATTGGGACGGTTTCGATGCTTTTGCAGCCGCCGCTGTTCTGTAAAATGAAGAAGTGAAGGCTCTCATGTCCGGAAGAGAGTGGCCGCAACGACGGAATTGAGACACAATCGCTTTTGGTCTTAAATCTCAGGAGAATGTTGGTTAAACGATGTCGTTTTTGGTAAACTCAGGTAACTTTTTTTTTTTTTTTTTTTGGTTTAACCTAAAACACAAACCAAATGTAAGTGTTCTCTATTAAAGTGGTATGAATTGAAATTGATCATGAATGAACAATCAAATATTGTAAGATGTTCAGCATAATCTTGGAGTTTGCTTATGATTAACAGATTATTAAAAAAATACACACATTACACTATAACTTTTAGTCTATACAGTATACTACTATATATATGATTGTCACACTTTCAACATAACTATATGGTTGTTACATTTTTTTTCCTTACCAATTGATCACATGTGTTGTCCTCCTTTACTCTTTATCTTTTACCAAGTCTGTAAGTGACGGTGTTATGGAAGCATTCTTCCTTCTCAATTGCTAAGCACTAAATCTTGAAGTGGTAAAGACATTTGATCGCAATTAAACAAATGAAAATGTTGATTTTTTAATACTCACAACGCGTACAAATCTTATCTACACAGAAATACAGCATGTTTAAATCATTTACATATTGTATAGCTGTATATACCATTGAATTCGAATTTAATGAGTATTTTAGTGTTGAAAAGAAAAGGTCGTAAACCAAATACTCTCAATAAATTCAAACTTGATAAAACTTCTCTTTTTATTATCACCATCTCTCTGGATCAACACAACTATAATGGCAGAACAAGATCCCAACAACAGGAGCAACACGATACCGATCATAGGCTCAGAGTTTGTTCGTCCTCAGCCTTCGGATCTAACCATCATTGGAGACACGGTGAAGGACACGAACGGAAACAAAGTATTCAAAGTCAAAACACCTCTCTTCGGTCTCCACAACAAGAGAATTTTGCTTGATCCTAATGACTCTCCTATAGTCACCATGAAAATGAAGGTTCTATTTAAGTTCTTTCACCCTATTATCATTTGTTTACCGGTCGATTTTCTGACTTTTGTTATGCTTTGGGATTTGAATTTTATGTAAAAGGTGACTAGTAAGCACGATCGATGGCAAGTGTATAGAGGAAGTGATTTAGATGATAAGATATTCACGGTTAAAAGATCATCATCGGTTCAACTGAAAACAAGAGTTGAAGTATTCTTGAAACATAACCAGACCAAAGAAGCCTCTTGTGATTTCACTATTAAAGGTCGGTTTATGAAACGTGCATGTACAATCTATCTTGGAGACTCCACCAAAGTCATCGCTCAGGTAAATTTTGTTTTTAAAGAAATATAGACGCGATGAAGACGTTTATTTTACTTACAATTATTGTCATATGTGTGTGTAATAATGCATAGGTGCACGAAGGAGATGAGAGATTAGTGGCTACAGTTTACCCTAATGTCGATTGCGCTTTTATTGTTACACTTATCTTTATATTTGACCTGATTAATATGGCTGGGACTGGGGTCTGATTAGTATTTTGAGAGCAAGTGTGTTCTTCGCATGTGTGTTTCTGTGTTAAGTGTAATATTGTCATACACATTTGTGTGTTTACATGTATAAATCTCAATCGCTATCCGTATAAAAAATACAAAGAAATATTACAAAATCAAATTCATGTGTTACCATTTGGATGTACCATTTGGATGTCATGTGGCCAAATGTTATAAAAATCGCTACTTGGTGATTAGACGTTCTATGGAGAATTATTATTTGGACAGGTGTCTAGGCTAATTTTTTTTAATGCATATACTAATTAAAAAAAAACGGTTTTAAAAAATTGTTTTGCACATACTCGATTTTCAAACTAGATATGCATCTAGACCGATTGTAGAACACAGATCATGTGCATATATATGCAATTAAGGCAAAAAAAAGACCCATCTAAATTGTCTTGTCATTTGTAGTATGCTATCATTCATATGGATTAAAGTTGCTAAAGTTTGGGAATTTACACATTATTTTATCAATTTATATTATATTTTGAACCGATGAAACTCAAAAGAAATAAAATTTATTATGAATATTTATTTATGATTAATTGATAATTTTATTATTTTTATTATAATCAAATTTAAAAACTTAAAATAAATCTAAAATCAATTTATTGGAAGGGTATCGGAAGATTAACCCAAACCTAATGGTCAAGATAAATGATATATATCATTTAGTTTAGGAGTTAGGTATGATATCTATTATATAATCTATGTTTCTCTCCTTTTATGGTTAGCCACGTATACGTCCATGTCCACGTCACTTAGTACACGTAGGTAAATTCGATTTTGGGTTTGAAATGTTTGGGTTTTTTTCCTTTATTTGTGTCTTTTTTAGCTATTGTTTTTGGTCTGTAGTTTTTTTCTCTCCCGACCTAAAGCGGAGTTTTCTCACGGGTGACGCTTGGTGTGTCTTCTTCCTCTCAAATCTGAAACCGCCGGCGTAAATGATTCGATTCCACTGGATGGACATCAATGTTCTTGCACTGATAAATGCATGTAAGTCCTCTCCTTCAGATTCTTTTGTTCACTCATTATCTTCCAAAATGGCTTTTTCCAACATTTTCTTCTCAGACTTGAAGATTGGCAGGTGCTCATCCGGTGTTCAGACACGACTCCTCCGGTTCTGGGAGGCACGACGTATGAGGCGTGGGGTGGAGATGAAGTTCATTGATTTGCTACTCATCGATGGCGATAGAGTAAGCAGAGGAGAGAAACAAAGCAAGCGGCAGAGAGCGAAGGAACAAGCAGCTTTGAGCTGATGGAACAAGTGACGGAGAAAGCGAGATGGATAGCCATGAAACAAGCGACGGATGGTGAGATAAGATATAGAACATGCAATCGTTGCAGTTCAATGGTACAAGGGAGGTTGATAGGCTCTCAGATAGGGTGAGTTTATAAGAGCTGCAATATTTTTTTAGTGCAGAAAGGGACATGAAGGTAGATCATTATCTCTTTATCCAGGACGATGAAGTGTCCTCATGACTTCACTATCCTCTCTGCGACCATAGTTTCTCCACCGACGTTGGAGAGAAAGACCTCTAATTAGATCACTGCCCCTAGACCACCGGTACCTTTGTTAGTGAGGCCATCAGATACTCCATCTCTCACGCACTCCGATAACATTGTCTGTGAGGCCACCGGTACGGAACTTCATGAACTTCTCGAGGCTGAGAGGGGATTTTGACGGTAGAGGAGAGTATGGACCGTCGATTTCAAAGCCGATTGTGAGAGAATCGACGCAAGTAAACCCTAGCCTCACACCATGTCGCAGCGAGAGAATCCGATCTAATACGGCGGACATACGACACTGATAGTCGAGGGAAAGTTGATTTCAGATCCAGATCCGCCGCAGTTGGAGGTGGAGCATATAGTATCCTAATCGGAAGGGAAAGGCAGTGGCCACAACGGAGCCGGCGAGTGACAATCACGGTGCATCATCTTCCATAGCCATTCTTTATCGCTTCTATTGAGGGCAACAAACAGTCACACAGACATATCTCAATCTTTTCTTACGTCGATTGGAAACGGAGATCCAAAGAACCCTACCTCCTCTGGACAATTGTTGTATGAGAGGCTTAATTTCTAAATAACAGGTCATCCTTTTAGTGATAACCTATCATTTATAAGCCCAAACGAATAGAGATGATATTTGATAAAACACATATATTTGGAAAGGAGGGACAACTGTTCACGTGAATTTATCTATGTGGCGCTAACGTGGCGGGCCTCACAAAAGTGATAACACTCAAATATATGATAGATTAACGTTACAACTTTGACTAAATGATTGTCATAAAATTTTATTATTGTAGGACAATAAAGAGGGTGGTAGATACATATAGTCGGTATTAATAAAAATGAGAAAATGAAACCATGCCTTTTATGGGCCATTATCTGTATCTCCTTTACGAACTAATTTAAATTTATGAAAAGAGAATCCCTTGTTTTAGTCAACTGTTTTGATTCTACATCAACACAAACTCACAAGAATTATATGTCACAAAAGTTTGATTCTAATCCAATTTAAAGTTTCTAGTGAATGTAAGATCACCTACAACGGGGTCCATAAAAAATCCTTAGCTCTAATTCTTAAGTTAGTTTTAATATAATAATAGTTATTATGTTAATTTTGACAAGGATTAACTTTTTCGGGAAGGAGTTTAAGGAGCTGATCCTTGTGTACGTGGCAGCGTGTTAGTGGGACGGGTTCGATTTGTGTTTGGGTTGGTTTAAAAAAAAATTGGTCATTTTCGACCGAAAATGAAAAAAAAAGTTAATATTATTTTTTATTCATGCAATTAATAAAATTTTAATTTAAAAATATATATAAAAATATTATTTTTTTATTTCTACGAACTCCATTTTCGGGAACACCATTGGACGACAAGTTTTGCTTCGGATCTTTAGCTATTCAAAAAAAAAACTAAAATAATGCTAATGATCCATGAATGGAGTACACCATTGTATAAGCTCTAAGTTGTGTTCCCCAAAAATGTAAAAACAAATGAAAGATGCGTTTTATTAATCATGAACGCAACGTTACATGCAAGTTAATGCAGTGTAACTATATATTATTATCTTTTATTAATTTGCTGTTAGAAAAACATATGTGGAAATAGAGATAAGCTAACTGCTTTTAAACAGTGGCTAATTCCAAGGAAGACAAACATCAAACATTCCACTGTCTTTGTTAAGTTTGCAAGGCCCGGTCTTGCGTATCTTCCACTCACATCTTATACACCCAAACTCTGCAAACAGTCTGTCTCTTCTGTATCTGTAGATATCGAAATAATGCAACTCGTTTCCCCAGCTGAAAGTGCAATAGAATTTTGTATTTCCAAAAATACTAGGTTTAAATTCAAAGAACCACGATCCACTTGGTGGCATAGTTCGGTCTCCAAGATCATCGTCTTTTGAGTTACAATGATATCGCAATGGCATAGAACCTCCAAGATCATTGATAATCACCACAGTTGTTCTTGGGTTATCGAAACCGGTTAAGGAGAAATCATCTTGAGCGTGAGACATCGCTACATATGTACACGTACTCATGATCAGTAATAGAGCAGTAAGCACTTCTAATGAACCCATTCTTTCTTTACTATCTTTTTTTCTCTTACAGTACGAGAGTATTGTATATGTATGACTGCTTCACTCAGTATTGAGTTGTGTATATATAATCTCTTAAATAGTTTCATACCAAGCTCTTTTTGTTTTTGTGACCTCAGTAACGTATTCATCGCATTTATCTCAGTAAATATTTTCAATGCACTAACTTAGTAAACTTTTTTCATGCAATTTTGAAAAATATGCGGTCAAGATCATAAAACGTATATATATCTTTTCTGAATAAAAGTGACATAACTAGTAAACCATATATNCCCCCCCCCAAAAAAAAAAAAAAAAATTAGTAACCATTGAAATCAAAATACTTCTTTTCCTCTTGAAATAAAGTTTTCAAAATGAACAGTAACTGCCACACAAACAATTAACACGAATCAAAAGCACAATCTCCCTTAATTGGGCTGCATCCTAATACTGACCACGAGTTTACTTTTGGATAAATATCTTTCTCATCAATGCACACTTCCACAGAAGTCACTGCATCATAAAGAGGATACAAAAAAAAAGATCATTTCAAAATATGTTTACCGGTTTAGATTTGTTACACATTTAACACTAGAGGTCAGATTGTTAGAATGTGACCAAGACATCAAGTGAATGAAGCGGAAGCTCTAATAGGAATTGATCCAACAAAAGCATTAAGAGAATAATTAGTGATCATTAAGTGTCCAAGAAGAGCCTAAGTATCTGTTTGTCAAAAAAAAAAAAAACAAGGAGCATGTGAGATCACTTTATCAATGCTCATGTTTAACTAAACTAGTTTGTTACTTTGTTCCACTCTTCAGGAACCAAGAGAAGCAAGTGGTGGGTACTATTCACATGAAGCACAACCACAGGTTTAGATATTTAGTTATGTGTTACTACTTGCATAAAACATGCGGAAAAACTATAACTTGAGTCATGCTGCAAGTGTTTTAGGTTATGTTTATCTCTTAGCTTTGAATAATATTTAAGTTTGTTTATCTAATGAAACCTAAAAACCAATATAAAGATGAATAGAGTAACTGAAACCATAGGCCATGTTCACAAATCAACTATTAATAATCTTTAATGACAAAATAAAACAGTAACTATGCACGACAATAACAAGTAACTTGATTAGGATGGTATGTTCCTCTAGTCGCCTGGTGGTGCAGCTTTACTTGATTCTCACCGAGCTTGGAACATAAGAACACACAAGTGGCATACAATCTCCGTATTCATAATCTCCGAGCTCAACTGTTTTGAAGTAACCATTTTCGCCAATGATGTAAGCCATGATACGACGAGTGGGGCAAGAATAATCTCTACTCATATCAAGAACCACGACAACTTTCTTCTTCTCATCAACAAAGAAACTTCCAGCGTAACGTCTAAACGTAAAACCGAATAATGCCTTCATATCAACCGCTAAGAACACCTTGTTCCACGTCACTCCATTCGGATCAACCTTGCTACTGATCCATATCTCCAAGGTGTATGCAGGCTCATCAGAGTT